GTTAAATGAAGCCATGACTGAAACATTCCTGTCACAGGGTGGTTGCAGCACTCCCTGACAAGGGTGTTTTAATCCTCAGCACAGAGGAATCTCACTCCAAAAGTGCAGATTGCTCTCAGCTTCTGAGCTTGGGTTATAAGATATGTGTGTATTTTATTTCTTATATATTAGAAGTGGGGCAGTCATTTTTTTGTTAATTGGGCATTTACTTTATCTCTTCTACAGCTAATCTTCCCTCTGGGGAGATATCTTTTGTTAATGGGCTATTGAATCTCACTTCATAACTGATAAAATGACATCATCTCCTTGTGAGATGTCCTGCAAAGGGGGAGGAGCTGAGCATTCTTACTTGGATATAATCTGAGATTTAGAACACTAGAAGAAGTCTTTCTCTACTAGGTTCTATGAAGAACAGCTTTATTTTTTACTGAATTCTCAGAAGACCAAGCTCATCTACACTACTGAGCTTTCAGAAGAAAACTACACTCCTCAACAAGATCACAGCTCCCACTGTCAGGTTTAACCACCTGTCCTAGATGGCAATGTGTGTTCTGTCCCCACCTGTCAGAGCTGGGGCAGTTCTCTGCTGTTCTTGGGGCAGTTTTTTCTTTATCTCTCCCACAGCCAACCCTCCCTCCAGGAGATCTCCGCTGTCCATGGCCAGAGTGTCCCTGCAGGGCTGATCCCATCCCAGCATCCCATGGGGAGATGCTCTGCCCAGGGGAGGAGCCAAGCATTCCTACCTGGATCCAATCTGAGGTTTGGGACACCAGAAACAGTCTTTCCACTGCATTCCCAGAGGAGCAGCTGCCTTTCCCACTGGATCTTCAGAGGAAAACTCCCCCCTTGTGCAGGATCCCTGCTGCAGCAGAGCCACAGCTGGCACTGCAGGAGGGCTGAGCCCCCATGGGATGGGGCTGGGTCACCACCCTGGCACACAGGGGCCAGCTCCTATCCTGACTCTGTGTTGTTTTGTATTGCTGCATTGTTAATTTTATTTTAATTTTCTTCCCTAATAAACAACTGTTATTCCTGCTCCCATATCTTTGCCTGAGAGTCCCTTAATTTCAAATTTATAACAATTCACAGGGAGGGGGTTTAAATTTTCCATTTCAGGGGAGGCTCCTGCCTTCTTTAGCAGACACCTGTCTGTTCAAACCCAGACACCATCCCTCACATCTCAGCAGTCACTGAAGCTCCTGTTATTCCCAAGTTGCTGCTGCTGGGATCAGGACAGGCAGGTGTTCCCTCACCTCATTGTTGTGCAGGGTCAGGCAAAGCTTGCACTCGTAGGAACCCAGATGATTTTTCATAAAATAGGGGTCCTGGGGAAAGAATGATGGACAAGTTATAAACAAAATCCATTGGTAAAGCAGGAGAATAACCAAAATACTGCAGAGTTCTGCACTGGAGGAAGTGGTTCCTCCTCCTGAGGGTGCTGGCACTGCCCAGGCTCCCCAGGGAATGGTCCTAGTCCAAGGACAGAGCTCCAGGAATGTTTGGATTCCACTCTCAGGGGTGCTCAGGGTGGGATTTTTGGGGTGGCTCTGCAGGGCCAGGTGCTGCACTGATGTTCCCTGAGGGTCCCTCCCAGCTCAGGAAATCCCAGGATCCTGTAGCTGAGTTCAGATTTTAAATTAACAGCACAAGAGAGCTTCAGGAGAAGAAAACAGAGAGAGAACCAACAGCAGCTGTGTGCATTGGTGACAGAATCCCCAACGGCAGCAGGAAACACCAGAACCCAAACCAGCCCTGGGGAGACTGGAAATAGATGGGCACACAAGAGCTGGCACCTCCTTGTCACTCTGTCCCAAATATTCCTTATTCAACCCCCACATGCCCAGAAACAAAAGTATTTAAACCCAACCCACAGCTCAGCCTGGACACAACAAGGCTCTGGGGTGACCACGGAGCCTAAAGGGGCTCCAAGAGAGCTGGAGGGGAACTTTGGAACAGGACAAGGAAGAATGGCTTCAAATAGACCAAGAATAGATTTAGTTGGGATATTGGGAAGAAATTATTGGCTGTGAGGGTGGGCAGGCCCTGGCATGGATTTTCCAGGGCAGCTGTGGCTGCCCCTGCATCCCTGGAAGTGTCCAAATCCAGGCTGGTTGGGACTTGGAACACCTGAGACAGCTGCAATGTCCCTGGATGAGCTTTAATGCTCAAACCCTGCCATGATCCCATGGATGTGACCCTGCACGGTGTCCCCAGGGCTGTGGGGTCCCTGTACCATGGATGTGACCCTGCACGGTGTCCCCATGGCCATGGAGGTCCCTGTACCATGGACATGTGACCCTGCACAGTGTCCCCAGGCCAGGGGGTCCCTGCACCATGGATGTGACCCTGTCCCCACGGCCTGGGGATCCCTGTACCATGGATGTGACGCTGTCCCCATGGCCCTGGGGGTCCCTGTACCATGGATGTGACCCTGTCCCCAGGCCAGGGGGTCCCTGTACCATGGATGTGACCCTGCACAGTGTCCCCATGGCCCTGGGGATCCCTGCACCATGGATGTGACCCTGTCCCCAGGCCAGGGGGTCCCTGTCCCATGGATGTGACCCTGTCCCCATGGCCATGAGGGTCCCTGTACCACGGATGTGACCCTGTCCCCATGGCCATGAGGGTCCCTGTACCATGGATGTGACCCTGTCCCCATGGCCACGAGGGTCCCTGTACCATGGATGTGACCCTGTCCCCATGGCCATGGGGACCCCTGTACCATGGATGTGACCCTGCACAGTGTCCCCATGGCCATGAGGGTCCCTGTCCATGGATGTGACCCTGTCCCCATGGCCATGAGGGTCCCTGCACCATGGATGTGACCCTGCACAGTGTCCCCATGGCCCTGGGGGTCCCTGTACCATGGATGTGACCCTGCACGGTGTCCCCATGGCCATGAGGGTCCCTGTCCATGGATGTGACCCTGTCCCCATGGCCATGAGGGTCCCTGCACCATGGATGTGACCCTGCACAGTGTCCCCATGGCCCTGGGGGTCCCTGTACCATGGATGTGACCCTGCACGGTGTCCCCATGGCCATGAGGGTCCCTGTCCATGGATGTGACCCTGTCCCCAGGCCAGGGGGTCCCTGTACCTTGTTGATGTCGATGGTCTCCAGGGCCAGCTGGCGGAGCCGCTCCCGCCGGTCGCGGTTGCTCTCGGAGGCCGAGGCCACGCCCCCGCTGCCCGTTTTGCCCCCGGGCCGGTGCTGGAAATCCATGGCGGGGATTCCTGGCCTTCAGCACCCCAAGAAATGGACAGTCTGGGAAAGAAAGGGATAATTGAACCACAGGATTGTTCAGCCCAGCAGCGAGGATGGGGAGGACACGCGAGACGTGCCCTGGGCATGCAGCACAGGATGCAATCCAACATGGAGCACACCAGGAAAGTGGAGTAAAAGTATACAGAAAATCCCCCCGGAGCCCTTCCCATCTCCTCAGCCACTCCCAAGCCAAACAGCCCCACCAGAGGCCCCCAAGGACCCCAAACAGGAGCTTTCCCCCCTCACCTGAGGCACCAACAGCCTCGAAGCTCTCCCCCCTGTCCAAACCAGATCTGCTGCTCCCCCACCACCCCAACACCCCCCAAAGCCCCAGGGCCACCCTCCCACCATGGGAGGCTCAGAGTCCCCCGACAACAAGGCTCTGAGTGTCCCCAAGCCCCAGGTGAGGTCCTGGAGTCCCCCCCAAACCGCCCCACACAGTGCCCAAACACTGGAAAGACCTTTGAGGAACCTCAAATCCTTCCCCACAGAGCACCCAGTGTCTCTCCCCCAGTCCCTCTCCAGGCACATCCCCCAGCAGCTCCAGTCCTGATTCTCCACTCAAGGCCCCCTGACTCCCACTGATGCTCCCCATATTTCCAATCCTCCCCTGGCCCTATCCCAGTTTCCCACTTGTGATTCTCCAGTTCTCCCAATCCCTCCTCACTCAGTACTCCCAGTTCTATCCTGCTCCTACCCCTGGTTTCCCAGAGCACCCAGCTCTCCCAGTGCCTCTCCCCCAGTCCCTCTCCTCTAACTCCAGTCCTGCTTCTCCTGATCCCCCCAGTTCTCACAGTTCTATCCCCATTTTCCCTGTCCTGATTCTCTCCAGTACCCCCAGTCCTCCCGCCCAGTTCTCCCAGTCCCCCTCCAGCAACTCCAGTCACTCCAGTCCTGATTCTGCACCCAGGTACCCCCAGTCCTGCCCTCCCAATGCTCCCAGTACCCCCAGTGCTGCTCTGCTTCTACCCCAGTTTCTCACTCGTCATTCTCCAGTTCCCCCAGCCCCACAACTCCAGTTCTCCCAGTTCCCTCCTTTTCCAGCATCCTCAGTTTCTCCAGCACCCCCAGTGCTCCCACCCAGGGCACCCAGTTCCCCCAATACTTTTCCAGTAACTCCATCCCAGTTCTGCACTCAGGGTCTCCCAGGTGCTCCCAGTCCTGCCCCACTGACCCTCCCAGCAGCCCAAACCCTGCCTGGGCCCTTCCCCCAGTTTCCCACTTGTGATTCTCCAGCTCCCCCAGCCCCATCACCCAGGCCGCCCAGTTCTCCCAGTCCCTCCATACCCAGCTCTCTCAGTCTGCCCTTTCCCAACACTCCCAGTCTCTCCTCACCCAGTTCTCCCAGTTCCTCCACACCCACCATTCCCTGTCCCTCCTCACCCAGCACTCCCGGTCTCTCTTTACTCAGCTCTCCCAGTCCCTCCATACCCAGCTCTCCCAATCCCTCCTTCCCAGTTCTCCCAGTTCCTCCATACTCAACTCTCCCGGTCCCTCATTCCCAGCTCCCCCGGTCTCTCCTCACGCACCTCGCCCGGTTATCCCAGCTCCAGTTCTCCCGGTCCTGCCCGGTTCCCCTCTCCCCTCACGGCCCCCTCCCCCTCTCGGTACCTGCGCGCGGCCGCGCTCTCTCCCCGGCGCACGCGCGCTCCCGTCCCTGCGCATGCGCGCTCCCGCCTCCCCGCGAACCCTTCCGGCGGCTCTGAGGGCGCTTCCGGCGGCGGCGGCGCCGCCCGGGCGGGGCCATGGGCCGGGGCGGGCCCGCCATGCGCTACAACGAGCGGGAGCTGCTGTCCCTGGCCCGCCAGCCCGCCGAGAAAGCGGCCGAGATCCGCATGAGCGTCCCCAAGAAGGGCAACGGTGAGGGGGAGTCCGGGCTGGGCTTATTGGGGTGGGAGCAAGGCAGGACCGGGGGTACTGGGAGGATCGGGCGGGACCGGACTGGGAGTAGCTGAGGGCTCTGAGTGGGGAATCAGGGCTGGGGATACTGGGGAGGGAGCAGGACAGGACTGGGGGCACCTGAGGGGCCCAAGTTGGGAATCAGGGCTGGGTTTATTGGGGTAGGAGCAGGGCAGGACAGTGGGAGGATCAGGGGGGCGCAGGACTGGGGGTACCTGAGGGCTCCGAGTGGGGAATCCAGGCTGAGGTTATTGGGGTGGGAGCTGGGCAGGACTGGGGGTACTGGGAGGATCGGGGGAGACAAGACCGGGGGTACCTGAGGGCCCCAAATGGGGAATCAGAGTTGGAGTTATTGGGGTGGGACCAAGACAGGACCGGGGGTACCTGAGGGCTCCGAGTGGGGAATCAGGGCTGGGGTTACAGGAGAGGGACTGGGAGAGCTGAGGGTGCTGGAGGATCCGGGCTGGGAAAGTGGGAGCAGTGGGCGAGGAGGGACTGGGAGAACTGGGATGGTGGGACTGAGGGAACTGGAGAATCACCAGTGGGAAACTGGGTTAGCACCGAGTCAGGACTGGGAGAGCTGGGAGTACAGGGGAGGCAGGGGGTGTGGGGAGGAAGGTGAAGGTGGCTCAGGAGTGGGGATTCCTGGCGGGCCCCGACTGCAGAATCAGGACTGGGGATACTGGGGAGGGACTGCGAGAGTGCCATGGATGGTGGGGATGTGGGGACTGGAGAATCACAGGTGAGAAACTGGGAATAGGACTGGAGGTACTTGAGGGGCTTCGACTGCAGAATCACAACTGGAGTTACTGGGGAGCAAGGCTGGAGAGGGACTGGGGAGCTGGGAGGGAGGATTGAGGGTGTTGGAGGATCCAGGCTGGGAAACCAGGGCAGCACTGGGAGCACTGGGCAGGGCACTGGGGGCACTGGACACAGGGGATGGGTGGGACTGGCTGTACTGGGTGGGCAGCACTGGGAGCACTGGGCAGAGGTGGATGGGTGGGCATGACTGAGGGCACTGGGCACGGCACTGGGCACAGGGGCAGGGTTGGACTGGCTGGGAGTGCTGGGAGGCAGGACTGGGACAGGCAGACTGGGAGGGCTGGACTGTGGGAATGGGGAGCCCCAGTGGTGGGATCCAGTCTGGGCGTGGAGGGAGGTTCTGAGGCTGGGCTGGGCTCAGGGAGATCTCCCGTTTCCAGGGGATCTGGGGAAGAAACTCTTCCCTGAAATCTCCCAGCAAATTCCCTTGCAAACCAACCCTGGTTTCCTGCTCACTCCCTTGTGCTGAGCCTTTCCTGCTGGACTTTGTCCCTGGGGGTGACGCCCAGCTGGCAGCTCCAGGTGGGGCTGCTGGGATCTGGAGCTTTTCCTGGAGTGCCTGAGGCCCCGTGGTGCTCCTGGGAGCCCTCCTGAGCTGCTGCAGGAGCTGCTCTGGGGCTCTGTCACCCCGAGGCCACTTTGTCACCCCCAGGCAGTGTTTGGGGGGTGCTTTGGTGGGCTCAGGGCTGGCAGAGGTGCCCCCTGTGCCCCCTGACTCAGCCCTGCCCGCTCCCCCTGTCCCTGCAGTGCTCAAGAAGCGCCTGGTGAAGCTCGTGGTGAATTTTCTCTTCTATTTCCGCACTGATGAGGCCGAGGTAGGGACTGAGCTCCTGGCTGGGGTTTGTTCCCCTCCTCCTGTGTTCTTTTTGTGTGCCTGGGTTGTGTGGGCTGGGAAAATGGTGCAGGAAAATGGAGCAGGGTCCACCTTTCCTCTTCCACCAGCTCAGCAGGGCTGCAGGAGAGCTGGAGAGGGACAAGGGATGGAGGGACAGGACACAGGGAATGGCTTCTCTCTGAAAAAGTGACATTTAGATGGGAAAAAATCCCATTTAGATGGGTAAAAATTTCATTTGGATGGGGTATTGGGCAGGAATTGTTTTCTGGCACAGCTGGGCCTGCTCACCTGGACAGGAGAAGGCTCCAGGGACACCTCAGAGCCCCTTTTGGGGCCTGAAGGGGCTCCAAGAGAGCTGCAGAGGGACTGGGGACAAGGCCTGCAGGGAGACAGGACACAGGGAATGGCTCCCACTGCCACAGGGCAGGGCTGGGTGGGAGATTGGGAATCAGGAATTGTGGAATCCATCCCTGGAATGGATTTCCCAGAGCAGCTGGGGCTGCCCCTGGATCCCTGGCAGTGCCCAAGGCCAGGCTGGACAGGGCTGGGAGCAGCCTGAAGGTGTCCCTGCCATGGCAGGGGTGGCACTGGATGGGCTTTGAGGTCCTTTCCAACCCAAAAAGATCTATAAAAGACAAGATAAATCAGGTTTTCAATCCCTTCCCTGCTGTCTGATTTGCTTCTGACACTTTGGTTCACTTGGACAAGGATTTCCTGTGGTTGCTCTCGTTCATGGCCATTGTCACCTGTTGTCCCCAGGTCCCTGAGTTTTACCAGGTGGATTTTTGTCCATCCTGAGCTGCCCCAGCTCCTCTCCCACTGTTTAACCCCTTACAAGGCTCCAGCACAGCCCTTGCACAGCTCAGTGTTGGTTCTTCTGGGTGTCACAATCAATGTTTCATCTTTGATTTTAAAAGCAAAAGTTCTCTGGTATCACAAAGACCAGGCTGAAGGTAATTAACACCTAATTAACAAATGCAAAGTGCTACAGGTGACACTGGCATGAAAAGGTTGATTAAAGAAACATGAAATATGGTGCAATCAGAATGAATTATTTAAAAGCAGCACCAGCTTGTGAAAGATGCCTAAAAGGCTCCAGGGAAGCCCTGTGGGTTCAGCCCTCGTGGTGTTTGGGCTCTGTGGGTTCAGCCCTCGTGGTGTGGGGGCTCTGTGGGTTCAGTCCTCGTGGTGTTGGGGGCTCTGTGGGTTCAGCCCTCGTGGTGTGGGGGCTCTGTGGGTTCAGCCCTCGTGGTGTTGGGGCTCTGTGGGTTCAGCCCTTGTGGTGTGGGGGCTCTGTGGGTTAAACCCTCTCTCTCTCTGTTTTCCAGCCCATTGGAGCTCTGCTGCTGGAGCACTGCAAGATCACCAAAGAGGAGGAGAACGTTTTCTCCATCAGTGAGTGCTGCCTGTGCTCCCTTTGCCTTCCCCTGGTGGCACAGGGGGAAGGAAATGTTGGCACTGCTCAGTTCCTGCTCTCCCTGTTTCCCTGGGGGCAGCTCAGCCCTTCCCCTCCTTTTGGGGTCACTGCCCCCAGACCTTCTCCTCTCCCTCTGTGGGGTCAGGGTCCTTCAGGTGGGGTTCAGACTCTGCTCCCAGGGAACAGGACAGGAGGAAATGAGCTCCAGTTGTGCCCAGGGCAGGTTTAGGTTGGATATTGGGGAAAAATTACTCCCCCAAAAGGTTTGGAAGCACTGGCACAGGCTGCCAGGGCAGTGTGGAGCCACCGTCCTGGGAGGGTTCAGAAGATCTGTGGCTGTGACACCTGGGGACAGGGGTGAACCTGGTGGTGCTGGGCTGATGGTTGGAGTTTTCCAACTTCACCAGTTCCTCAGCTGTTCCTCCCTGTGCCCATGGCCCATCCCAGGGGATCTCAGGGATGTTCCATGGCACAGCCTGTGGGGTTTGCACAGCAGCACTAAGAGCAGCCAGGCCCCTGTGGAATCCCTGGCAGGGGGAGCTTGCTTATTGACAGATCTGCTCTGTGCCGCTGCATTTGATCCAAAAAAACACCCTGGAGAGGCTCAGATAAAGCTGCTCCAGCCCCATCCTCCCCTCTGTGTGTCCTTGTGCAGCTGCACTCCCCTGGGAGCAGCCTTTCATCCCCTGTGCCAGAGGTATGTGGCCACAATAACAGGATGTCTCTCCAAGGCCATCCCTGTATCTTTTGGCCTGGCTGCCAGGCACAGCTGTGGCTCTGCTCTGTGCTTCCCTCACACAGCCTGAGCACACTGAGCACCAGGGGCTGCATTCTGGGGTTTGGGGAGCTCTGGGGGGGCAGGATTCCTGAGCAGGGTTAAACCCAGCAGTACCCACAGCACCACGGGCTGGATTTTGGGGTTTGGGAGTGTTGGGAGCTCTGGGGGGGGCAGGATTCCTGAGCAGGGCTAAAATCAGCAGCTGGGTTTATCCTGACCCAGGGGTTTGGCAGCAGCAGCCCTGAGGGTGAGCTCAGCAGAGCTCTGGGACAGGAACTGGGGGCATGTCCTGGAGTGGCACCAGGACCTGCTCCCCAAGGTGGCAATGCCATGTGAGTGTCACATCCCCAAACTCCTCCAGCAAAAGCAGCTCAGGGCCTGCTCCCAGTGCAGTTTAACTCCTTGGTTAGCCCTGCAGGTATCCCAGTTCCTCCCTCAGGGCTGTTTCTCACTTGGATTTAAATCCTGCTGTCTTTGCAAGGGGCCTCAGGGAGTCAATCCTGGAATTTGCCAGTTCAGGTCACCCTCAGTTTGGGAAGTTGCTCTTCCCAAGGTCTCAGGCTGCTGTGAGCTGGGAAATGCTCTGGGCAGCTGCCCCAGGCACCCAGGGAATGGGAGAGGGGGTGAAAGTGGGGGTTACAGACTCACTCCCAGCTCATCTTCGTTAACAGAGCTGCTAATTGTGGCCTGGCAGAGCCAGGGGAGCAGCAGCAGCTCTGCCAGGACCTGCCTGGAGCCTTTTCCCTGTCCCTGGCAGGTTTCATCGAGGAGCCAGAGAGGAAATACTGCTTTGAGTGTGCCACGGAGGAGCAGTGCCAGGAGTGGGTGGAGGCACTCAGGAGAGCCAGGTGGGCTGAGCCCTCAGGGCCAGGGCAGGGCTGGGGGCTCTGGGCTGCTCTGGGAGCAGGAACTGGGAGGGCAGTGCTGTCTCCTCCCAGACACGCTTCCCTCAGCTCTAAATAGCATCTGGAACTTGCCCACATCCTTCCCCTGCTCTGTTCCTGTCTTGCAGCTACGAGTTCCTGAGGAGGAGCCTGATTTTCTACAGGAATGAGATCCAGAAGATGACAGGGAAGGTGAGTGAGTCCCTGCAGGGGGACTCAGGTGTGACAATGGCTCTGGGTGCCAGCAGGGGCTGTCTGGAATGGAACAGAATGGGATCCAGTCTGGTTGTGGAGGGAGGTTGTGGGGCTGGGCTGGGCTCAGGGAGATCTCCCATTTCCAGGGGATCTGGGGAAGAAACTTCCCTGAAATCTCCCAGCAAATTCCCTGGCAGCAGCAGGGGCTGTTGCTGCCAGTCCTGCCCAGGCTGTGTGTGGGAAGGAGATCCCAGATCCCATAGGGAGCTGTGATCTGCACAGCCAGACCTGAGCACCTTGTCCTGGGTGCACAAATTCTGGTGCTCGAGCCCTGGGTGCTCACTCCTACCCTGATGAACACATTCCAGTGCTGGAATGGCCCAGGGTTTGGAGCTGGACAGGCCCAGAGCTGGCCTGGTGTCCCAGGGGCTCTCTGGAGCAGCTCACACCACCCTGGCACATCCATGGGTGGAGATGCTGCTCAGCCACGCCCTGCCAGGTGCCAGGAGCATCCCAGCTCTGGGGAGGGAGGTGGCTGTGACCCCCCTGGACCTTGGCTGTGTCCTGTGTGTCCCAAGGGCTGCTGGGCTTTGTCTGCATCTCACTGGTGCCTCCCTGTGCTCCCCACAGGACCCCCTGGAGCAATATGGGATCTCAGAGGAAGCTCGATTCCAGCTGGGAGCACACAGGGAGCTGTAACCCTCCCCTGCTGCAGCTCCCCACACCGACCACCTGACTTTTTTATTTATTACCCAATCATTTTGTATTTTTTTAAAGGAATTCCTTGCACATTCCCAGTGCCCCAGCTGGGGGGGCTGAGCTGTTCTGGGGGTGCTGCAGTGGGAGTAGAGCCCCCAGGCCTGGGGCTGGCAGAGCCCCCAGCTCCTCCAGGCCATGCTGGGCCCAGCTCCCCCCTCCTGCTCAGCTCCCCTGGCTCAGGATCCTCCTGCAGTCCCCCAGGCCCATCCCTGGGGTAAGAGGATGTGACTGATGCATTTCTGGGCTCCACATTAACCCCCTCCTGCCCTCCAGGGACGAGTGGGAATTCCACAGCTCCAGCTGATGGAGAGAAGCATTGCAGCCCTGTGCAGCCTTTTGGGGTCTTCCTTTCCCTCCCCTGCAGTTCCTGGGGGCTGGATGAGCCCATCCAAAAGGACAAAGCTGCAGAGCAGGAGGGAACAAAGGCAGGGAGGGATCCCTGTGTGATCCTGCCTGCCTGCAGAGCTCTGCAGTGATCCAGATGGAGGAGCTGGCAAAGGCAGGAGCTGCTCCCTTGGCTGGAGGATGGAGCTGCTGGACATGCACCAGCACAGCCAGGCATTAACCCTTCATTCCCTGAGCCACTGCTGCAGCTTTTCACCCCTCTGTGTGTCCCATTTGTCCAAAGGGACAGACCAAAAACTGTGCCAAGGTGCCATGAGCTGCCAGGGAAGCAGGGCTGCAGGGAGGAGATCAGGGTAGGAACATCCCCATAGGATCAGCCCTGGCTCTGCACCAAGGAAAACTGCCCAGACATGAGGGATGAGGACACTCCCCACACCCAGGGCTGCTGCAGACCCGGATTCCCGACTGCCTGAGCAGCTTCCCTGGACCCAGCCTGGGAAAACTCCCAGGAAAACTCCCAGGAGAGGCCTCTGGGAAGGTGCCAGGGGTCCCTGTCTGAGGCTGCTGGCAGCAGGAGGGGCTGGGGCAGGGTGGGGCCTTTGGGAGCTGCAGCTCTGGGCGTTGTTCCCCTCCAGCTGCCCAGCCCAGGGAGGGGGTGGAGCAGCCTCTGAGCTGGGCTTGAAAGGAATTTTGGGATCTTTTTTGGGAATTAATGCCCAAAGCAGAGCCCACACTGCAGCCTTTGCTGCTGTGTGGCTCACCACACAGCAGGCGATGAGAGTTAGGCAGTCAGTGGTGCTGCTCTCTGCTGCTTGCCTGAAAAGCACTGGGCTCGAGTGGCTGAGCAGCCTGAAGGAAAACGCGCCCGAATTCTTGGCAAGTCTGTTCTTCATATGGTGGAGGAGGCTGCCAGAAGTGGGAGAAGACAGAGAGCTGACTCTGAGGAGCTCAGCATATGGGTTTGCAGCATTGGAGGCACCAGGATCCATTTCTCCATCAAGCTGAAAGCAGCAGTCACTGGTTCTTGCTGTTGGACCAGTGCTGCTCCTGTGCTTTTTGCAGCCAGCTGACAGAGACCTATTTTCCAAAGGTTCTACTTTCCAAGCAGGAGCCAGTGTGAGGTAAAGAGGGCGTTCCCTCTTTACCTCATGCAGCTGAGCACCAGGGGTGACTCCTGTCACTGAGGCTTTAGTTTTGATCTCAAAGCTGAGATTTTTCCCTTTTCCCTCCCCAGATCTCCCTTTCCCTTGAATCATTCCAGGTGCTTGCTCCAGAAATTACCAAAATCAGGCAAGGGCAGCTGCCCTGAGGATCAGCTGAGGGCAGCAGGGAGGGAGCAGAGTCCAGGGGGGGCTGCAGACAGATGGCAGCTCCAGGGGGCATCCAGTGAGGGATTAAGAGCAGGACACACAGGAGCTGTGCTTTAGGGAATCAGTATCCTTGCATGACTCCAAAGGGCATTTCAGTCCTGCATTTTTCCAAAGGAGAGCTGAGTTCTCAGCTGGGCCTGCCACCACTGTAGCAGATGTGTCACCTGTGCCTTGCAGGCCACCTCTCCCCAGGTGCAGCTGCCACCCTCCAGTGTCACTGTGCAGAAAATGGGTTTTATTTGCTGTTCCAGGGAACAGTTGGGTGAGCAAGAGCAAAGCCCAACATTTGAATGTTCATCACCAATGACATTTCTTACCTGAATGTACAACAAAAGCTGTGAAGAGTTCCAGGGCCAGGGACTCAATCCATTGTGGGGCAGGGCTGGGACACGGGGTGGGATTTAAGGATTTAGGGAGGGAGGTTGGTACTTTGTAGACACTTTGAAATCTGCATCAACTGCTGGTGATTTACAGACAATTGTTCATTTTTTCACATTTTGATGACTCTGCTTGTTGTGTTTCAGCTGAGAGCCATTTCTGTGTTGTACAGTGAACATTCCCAATAAATCCTGTTTTAATCTTTGTGCTGGTCAGAGCTGTTCTACAACACCAAACCCTCCCTGGGAGGGGTGGCTGGAGCCAGTGGGGCACCAGGGGTGGTTCCTGCTCAGGACCCAGCTGGGGATGGCTCCACCAGGGGCTTTGGGGAGGCTTTTTTAAACAATTAGAATATTCTGGGTTGGAAGGGACATTTAAAGCTCTTCTAATCCAGCTGGTTCTGGAGCCAGGCCAGGGGCAGGTGCCAAAGCTGTGTAGGAAGAGGAGCTGGGTCAGGAGGGTTGGAGGCTCAGGGTGAAGCTGGGGCTGCATCTCATTTGAAATCCTACAAGGAATTGGCTCAGGAAATGTTTGTGGCCTCTAGCTCAAACACATCCCTGGCTGCCTGTGGGGTTGGTGCACTGGTGCCACTGCTGGATAAAAGGGAACAGAGCTTGGATGGGTTTGGAATCATGGAAGTTTAGGTTGGAAAAGACCTCTAAAAATCTGAGTCCAAGCACTGCCATGGCCACCACTGCCCTGTGTCCCCAAGTGCCACATCCACACTTTGTTCCAACGCTCCTGGGGCTGGTGAATCCACTCCTACCCTGGTTTTGCTTCCCAAACCTTTCAGTGAGGAAATTTTCCCAGTTTCCAACCTAAACCTCCCCTGGCCCAGCCTGAGGCCGTTCCCTCTCCTCCTGTCCCTGTTCCCTGGGCTGTCCCCTCCTGTCAGGAGCCACAAGGTCCCCCCTGAGCCTCCTTTTCTCCAGGCTGAGCCCCTTCCCAGCTCCCTCAGCCCCTCCTGGGGCTCCAGACCCTTCCCCAGCCCCATTCCTGTCTCTGAACATGCTCCAGCCCCTCAATGTCCCTTGATGGCCCCAGAGCTGTCCCCAGGCCCTGCTGTCCCTCCCCAGTGCCAGCACAGGATCCCCAAACCCTCAATGGGATCCCCAAACCCCAGAGCTGAAGGTGCTGCCTGGTTCAGGGATCCCTCTGTGCCCCCACAAACCCCAAATCCCTCTGTGCCCCCCAAATCCCTCTGTGCCCCTCAAAAACCCCAAATCCCTCTGTGCCCCCCAAATCCCTCTGTGCCCCCACAAACCCCAAATCCCTCTGTGCCCCCCAAATCCCTCTGTGCCCCTCAAAAACCCCAAATCCCTCTGTGCCCCCCAAATCCCTCTGTGCCCCTCAAAAACCCCAAATCCCTCTGTGCCCCCCAAATCCCTCTGTGCCCCCACAAACCCCAAATCCCTCTGTGCCCCCCAAATCCCTCTGTGCCCCTCAAAAACCCCAAATCCCTCTGTGCCCCCCAAATCCCTCTGTGCCCCTCAAAAACCCCAAATCCCTCTGTGCCCCCCAAATCCCTCTGTGCCCCCTCTAAAACCCCAAATCCCTCTGTGCCCCCCAAATCCCTCTGTGCTCCCCAAATCCCTCTATGCCCCCACAAACCCCAAATCCCTCTGTGCTCCCCAAAAACCCAAATCCCTCTGTGCCCCCCAAATCCCTCTGTGCCCCCACAAACCCCAAATCCCATTTCCCTCCTGACTCTCTGAGGCAGTGAAAGTCCACACGAGCTCGGTGTATTAAAATACAGACACTTTAATATAAAGACAAAACTTCAAAGCATCATTTCAATTACAAATCAAGGGAGACACAAGAAATTAAGTGGAGGGAGGGGAGCAAAAACTAACTCTTACATTGTGGAGAATTAGAAAGGCTGGGTGGAAATATATATATATTATACATACATATATACACACCAGAATTCACACTACTGCTAGGCAGGAATGAAAGGAATGACAGAACAACTTACCAGTATAAAAAAAAAAAATAAATTCAAAAACAAACCAACCAAAAAAAAAACCAAAAAAAAGAAGATAAATTAGGGGAAGTTTGAATTTTAAATAATTCAGTTTAATAGGCTAAACTATATAAACTAATTCCTATTCACTAGGAAACATCCCATATCACTGTCCTAAGAAAATGGGTTTTTCTAAAAATCCATTGAAAAATGGATTTTTATTAGTAGTTAAAAGTTTACTAATCAATTCCTGAGCAACAGCAACCTCATCATCTACTGCTTTCCCCATCCAAGTCCCACTCAGCGAGGGCAGGCTCTCACTCCTAAGTAGAACAGAGACCTAAAAAGTTGGGTTTTAATTGGAAATCGATCAATTCAAAGATTAATAGGTTAAAAAGCCAAGCAGGATGGATCAACCCATTCCACCTTTTCCTCAATAACTCCAGAGACAAAACCTTTTAAAAAATATTATTTGACTGCACCAGAAAAGCAACCAGATGTACCTCGAGAAAACCAAAGGATCACAAACCTGAGAACTTCAGGGTTAGCATCGTCCAACTTGGAATTTTCAGATGAGATTTTGTTTTTACACCACAAAGAACTCAAGAAGCCTCTTCAGGAAGAGGATCCCAAACAGTAAACCCAAACAGTAAAAACACTGGAGAATTATTTCTTAATTTTTTTTGTCTTGGGTTTAAACCCTGAAGTTCCCAATAACAGCATCTTTCAATGCAATATTCAGTCTAAATATATATTTATATATTTATAATGTAGAAGGATAAATAAAATATGGCACAACAACATTTTTGAAACAGCTTTTAGTGAAAACCTGACCCGCAAATGGAGCGGAAAATGGAAATGGAGCAAAAAAAAAAAAAAAAAAGAAAAGAAACCTTTAAAACCAGTAAGACTTCAAATATTCACACATTGACTGCACATCTGTACTCCCAAAACTCCAATTCCTGTGATTTTTCCTCAGTGCTGCAAAGATAGTTCACAAAAACACTGTCAAGTTTCTGCTCCCCAAAAGCTTTTTGGGTTCACAGCCCTGTCCAAGGCCCTCCCCTGCTCCCAGCCCTGAATCCCCTCTGTGCTTTGGGCTCAGGCAAAACAAGAAAATCAGAATTTTCCACGGGAGTTGGGATCGTTCCATGGTGGAGTTACCCAGGACAAAACCCACAGAGACCCCTCAGGTTTCCATGCCCTGGGGCAGAGGGAGAATTCCAGCACCAAAATCAAAGGGGTCACACAGGATGTGACCGAGCAGCCACCTCAGCACCAGTGACAGAACCCCAGACCTGGGGATGGCAGCTCCAGGGGACAGCGACCCTGGGCAGGCCCTGCAGGGGACCCCAGGGCTCAGGGGGGCAGGAAGGGCCCAGGGAGGGCTGAGCAGGGAAGGGATCCCCATCAACAACAGCCTGAGAGCAGCTCCCAGCACTGGAGTCCCAATCAGCAGGAGCTGGAGCAGGGCAGGGGAGCCAGAGCACCCCTGGGCACAGGGGGCACAGGGGGCACAGGGGGCACAGATCCCCAGTGCCAAGGTGGGCCCTGAAGGGACCCAGAGGAGCTGGAAGCACTGACTGTCCCCTCCTGTCCCCTCCCTGAGCCAGGGCTGGGTGTCCCCAGCAGCTCTGCACTGCTGGCACTGTCCCTGTCACCACCCCCCTGTCACCACCCTGGCACCTGGACTCTCTACCAAGTGGAAAAAATCCACTGGTGGCAGATGCTGAACACACAACCCCAGTGAGAACCAAAGCCCAGCAAGAACCAAACCAGGGCTTGGAAAGGCCCTGGAAGGGGCAGCCCAGCAGAGCAGGAGGATCCCGGTCCTGGGCTGAGATGGAAGCAGTGAGCACAGGCAGTGAATTC